TCTATTAAAAAGGCAAATAAAAGTGAACACGTTCGTTTAACTTGAAAGTTTTTTTCGAAAATTATTTAAAAACTCTCTAAAAAAACGTTTTTAACAAAGTTTCCTATTTCTTTTTGGCATTGAAAAAGACCTATTCCCAGCAATAAGTAAACAAAGGCTGATAACGGTAATCAAATTGAAGCTCTAATACTAATAATACTTAATTTTAATTAATGAAAGTAATTTTACTATCTTACTAATACTATAATGTGAAAGTTTAGATAGATGGATGTCTGTTAGAGTTTGTAGCCTAAACGGCTGATCGAATCTCGATGTAATTTGGCATAGACGTAGAGGCTAGTCTAGAAGATCATATAGGCTACTCACTTTTGTTTTTTCCACTTCCACGCAAACGGAGTCGCGGGCGTAAGCTAATAAAATAATACATTGAATTTCGGCGATAGTTTAACATGGTAACAGACGTTATGTCACATGCGAGGTTGACTAGCGGTTACTAGAAACTGTGTTAAATGTCGCTTTTTGGCAATTAATTTGTTGGTTACGTTACTTTAACCAGGCAGTTTAATTTAAAAGTAAAAATGCGATCGTTTTGAATACATTTTGGCTCATTTTAAGGTGCATATAAAACACACAAAAACGTTAAAATTATACTCATTCTTTTAAGTCACCCAGAGATTATATGAAGGACTCAAATAGCCTAGCTCCTTAATTATTCCAATTCGGAAAAATTAAAGCAGATTTCTTATATTTTCGCCAGTAAAAAATAAAGTAACCGTCCGCATTAATTGCCATTGAGAGAATTACGCAGTGGCATAATTAAGCTCTCTGGTGTTTAAATTTAATGCATAGTAATTTGTATTTTAAATTGTTAACTACCGCAATATTAGCATTATAAGCAAAAAGCAAAAGTGCTGTGAAACAATGGAAATTAAAGGAAGTCCGCTAAGAACTTTTGCATTGTTTAAATCCGTCAAGTCTTGTGCTTTGTAACTTTTGCGAGATTTTAAAGCCTTAAAAACGGAACCATTGCAACAAAGGTCTACTTAATTTTAAAACTAAAGATTTGTAAAATTACACTGCTTTTAATAATTGATAATTTAACATATCTACGATTAAATTATACAGGATGTTCGGATATTACATCTTAAAAAGAAGACCATAGATTCTCGACGAAAAATACGGTTTAACCTAACTTAGCTATTTCCAAATTTATTACAGTGTTTTTAAGCTAAACTATTATATTCACTTAAGTCATAGTAGCATTTCTTAGTGGTATACTATATACGATATTTCGTTTGACATAATAATAGCATGATTGAAGATTTTTTTCTTCATTATACTATCCTGATAAGTAAGCAAACATTTTCGCTCGCTACCAGTAGCAATATACCAAAATAGCTACCGATTTACTTCTAAGACTGGCGTATCTTCGATAACGAGCGAGCCCATTATTTAGCCGACGGCACTCGTTTAAAAGGCGTTCGAATAATCGTAGGAACATAAATCCCGACCTGCCCTAGAGCGTGTTATAAATTGAGTTGCCTTTAACGTGCCGATTAAAGGTTTTCTAGTTTTAACGTTAAAAGTTGTCGTTCGTGTTTATGCTAGAAGTACATTTAAAATACACATTCTAATAACGGCACTGCACCGTCTGTGCTACGGAGGCAGCAAGGACAATTTCGTGTTGGACTCCCGGCCTTATATTTCGGCAGGTCACTAAACCCCGTGGTGTTCTCCTTCGCCCAACCGGGCCGCGGCATCTATGTTAGTTTATCCACAACCCAGCTAGGGGGAGACTCTTGGTAGGTGCTCGATGTAGGGAGGGGTCAGATGTATACACATCTAATAACCAAGGTCATGTCAGGTTAATTGTTAAATAAATAGTTCAAAACCTATAAAAATTAAATAGCAAATTTAATCCTTAATGCCAATTTTATTTTGATTAATAAAAATACTTTTCCTAGAAAGTTTTGATTTTTATCACAATTAACAGTTCCAAAGTTGATCGAGGCAGGCGATCTCACGTGATTCCTGACTAATTATAATAAAAAATAAAACTTGTTTTCCCCGCTCTATACAGTTAACTATGTGTTGCCACGCGATATTTTTTGTAACAAAGACGTATATGTTTTCATTTTAAATTTTTAAAAACTAGGTTATGCATTGGCTTTGTTCTGCTAAAGAAATTCAAGTTTATTATATATGGGTTAATCTTTGATGTTAGTAATCATCATCATCAAGACCATCATCATATCCATCATCATTCAAAACAAACAAATTTTAAATATTAAAAAAGTACATAGATAGCGTAGCGTAGATTGCTACGAGATTGCTACGCGGCGTAGACAATTCCATTGATTTTTGATTACATTTTATTTTGCGTACCGCATGTTTTATGTTATAAAAATATGAGTACAGTATGTTTTTTTCGCTTACGTATTTCAGTCGAAAAATATATTTTTTGTATTTAAATTTATGTGCAAACTATTTCCCAACATCCCGAACATCCTTGGTCTACTGATGCTTGAATTTTGATGCACTTGGACTCTCTCCAAATATACAAGGAAACCTTTCAATTTTAATTCCCATAGCCCGGGTGCCTTTTCAAAATACAACTAACTGCAACATATATTTCAAATTTATATTCTTTTACATTTTCTACTATCTTTTCCATAGATACCTATAAAATTACGTTACGTAACTAAATTATTTGGAAAGTATCCTACGTACTTTAAAATACATATTTTAAAGTACACCAACTATTCCACTGTAAGTTAAAGTTAGAAATATTAAATGTAAGTGATTGTCTCAAGTACTTACTGGATTTTTTTTTGTTAATGTTGCGTAGGGTTTTTTTTTCAAGAAAATTTTTAAAGGTAAAGAAGTTTTCGTATTGCAGTTTGCCGTTACAAAAAACCTTCAACTAGATATTGCAATATATTAAAAGGCGTATACCTTAATTCCTGTTTTTGTTCATACAAAACAGATGTTTGGTTTTAATTCTTCCATTTTTTTATCTATTAAAAGATTAAATTATTAAAAAGTTTGTCGTGATAAAAATAAACAGAATCACATCGAGCGACGAGCGCTGGCCGAGTTCCAAGCTGCTTTATTAAGCGATACATGCACTGCCGAATTAATTTCCTATGAAACAGACATTTGGTGAGCTGATCGGAACATTACAGTTCCATTCCGAGCCTTACACTCCGCAAGTATTACGTCGACATGGATATATCTCTACTGAAATAGACTACAAATCGACAATTTTTTATTAAAACTGCTAACATCGTATCTTTTAATATTCTCTGATATGTTATGTACGAAAACTTCTAGAACATATATAGCACAACTTTACGTATTTTTAAAAACTAAAACTCAAAATATTTAGCGCTCTGATTTAGATAACTAAGGAAGATTTTTCTTCAGTCAAATAATTTTGTCTTAAAAGAAATTTTATTATAACATTTTTATCAAAATTCAGTTAAATTAAACCTATCCTCGTACAAAAAAGAGCTGTGTTTAACACAAGTAATTTATAAAAAAAAAATATCGTATGAACGAAATCATAAATGCTGAAGTACCAAAAAATATACGCAATTATTTCTGGATAACGGTATATTAAGCCCATTTAACAGGTACAAACAGTCGAATGTCAGGCGAATTCACGTGGCAACAAAAACATTATTATAATAAAAAAAACATAAACGCGCCTTGCCGCACTGCACAAAATGCTAATTGTTTGACGCCACGCGATTCTATTCCAACTAATAGGTCCGCTATCTTATAAGGGATCTACTTTAGATACGCAAAAATGATTGATTGTAAAGGTCAAAAAACCTTTGTAATAAAAAAACAAAAGCTGTTATCTGAACATGGAATAATTTGTAAATAATTATCTTAAAGAAATAGTAAACACATAAATTTGTAGATGTGTGTTATGAAAAACTATAAGAGAAAGATAAAAGAAACTATCAAGTATTTCTTCTTCTTCTTCTTCTTCTAATGCCTCTCCATTACTGGAGGTTGGCCGTCAGCTCAGCGAATCTCACCCTGTCCTGTGCCAAGCGAAAAAG